AGGGAATTTATTTCCCTAAAGAGACAGAAAAAATAAAATTTAAAAGTGCAAAGATGTTGGGGTTTTTTTGGGGTGGAGAGGGGAGCATATGAGGGCAGAAACCAGTGCTAACCACAGCACAGAACTGGGGACAGAGAAGTGTGATCCAAAACTCCGAAATACTGTGTGCCAGGTGCAGGAAGGTTAGGATTTGAACAGAGGTACTGAGGATCACCACTACCTTCTCAGTACCTGCCAGGTGAATCTTGGGAGAAGTAATGAAGATGCAATTAAGTCTGCTGCTGATAAGCACATGCACCTGGTCATACCCACAACACACCTGCAAGCCACTCGAACCGAAACACAGGGAAATCAACTTGGTGAACCAAGAAACACTTGGATTTCTTTCTTCCATTTGGTTTTAACAGTAAAACAGCTAGAGTAAAAATATGTGAAGTATTAATCAAAAGCTCTACTATTCTTGCCTGGCCTCATGTAACGTGGCTTTCAAGCTCTTTTATTTATCACAAAAACCTCAGAGGAAGCAAAATGGATGAAAAGCCAAGTGGAGAGGAAAAAAAAAAAAAAAGAGGGTTGAGACCATTTTGGATACATGAATAAGAGCTGAAGAGTACATAAGATTTGAAGCAAAACAGATGATATTCACAGCTATCTAACTTCTAAAAGCTGAGCTTTGGATGAAAAATTCTTCCATTCCCCCGGCTTTGAAACACACCACTCTTACTCAGAAATATTTTATTCAGAAGACTTATGTATAACACAATCACTAGTGATCAAGACCCAGAATAAAGTTCTCTTGGTTAAATTAAATTATTCAGACCCTTTCAGAACTTCAACACATGACTTCAGGACTATACCATTTGTTTTAATCACAGCAGCATGAACCTTGAAGCAAACCACATTTCCTCTTGGAGCAAAAGTTGGAGCCAAGAAAAAGCCTTAGCTCTTGAAAAAAAACCTGTTTTATTACAACAAAATAAGCAATCACACCACATGGTTTTTATCCTCAGTATAAATATTTCTGGTTTGAACATAAATTCATTTTAAGACTGTTTGATTAGCTTCTTTCAGGGTCCACATGGCCACCTACTTACTATCCCAGTAGACAGCAACTTCCCCGCCTCATTCTATTTAAAAACTTCAACACTCATTATTGTTTTAGTCAGTCTCTCTTACCTGTAAACCTCTCCCAGAGCTTCCTCCAGTTGATAGCCACTGTCAATCTCAGCTCCTTCCCGAGTGTCCCTGTAGTAACAGGATTTAAGTTGTTTGACCCACTGGGAATTTCCCTTCCCTAAGGCAGCCCCAGCAGCCCAAATGCCCCTTAAACCCTTTCTTCTGGTGTTACGACGGATTTAAGGGAAAAAACCGCGTTTCATCCTGCTTTCCAAGGTTCTTTCCCTCCTGCCTTTTCACAGTTTTTGCAGAATATACCATTTTTATTTTGGATACTACTACACGATTTACATAGTCACCACCACCACCAAAAAAAAAAAAAAAAAAATTAAAATCACCCATAAACGATCTATATACTTAACTCAGTTCGTACCTGGAAAGTGTAACTTTTAAGTTCAAAAGCGCTTTCGTACGGTGGAACGCACCTAAAGGAACTCCGAAAGCGGACTTCCCACGGCATTCCCGGGACGAAGCCCCTCAGTCGCCCCACCCCGCGCTGTGCGCTGCCCTCAGGCCCCGCCCAACAGGTGCAACGGCACCTATAGCCGGCGGGGAAAGTTTAACGTGAGGAAAAACCTTCCCTTTCTAACACGCCGCAGCCCCCTTTCCCCCCCCCCCCCTCCCCATGGATAAGGGCGCCGCGCACCCCTTTCCCTGAGGGCAGAGCCGGCGGGAGGCGGCGCGCGCTCCCCTCAGCCCCGGCGCGGCCGCGCGCGGGGGGAAGGGGCGGGGCGGCGGGAAGGGGCGGGGCCCGATTCGAACCGGGCGGCGGGGAAGCGGCGGCGGCGGCGGCGGCCATGGCGCAGAAGCAGCTCGGCCGGGAGCACCAGGGCATCACCCTGCGCGGCAGCGCCGAGCTCGTCGCCGAGTTCTTCTGTGAGGGGCTGCGGGGGAGCGGGTCGCCTTGGGGGCCGCGGTGGGAGAGAGAGAGGGAGGGAGGGAGGGAGCTTGGGGGGAGGGCTGGGAGGCCGCGTCTGGTGGGGAGACATGGCCGCCGGCGGGGTGGGGCGGTGGTACACATCCTTCTTCCTCTCGCTATTTCTCTCCCTCTTCTTCTCCCTTTCCCTCTCGCAGCCTATGGAATCAACAGCATCCTATACCAGCGCGGCATCTACCCCCCCGAGACCTTCACCCGCGTGCAGAAGTACGGGCTCACCCTCCTGGTCACCACCGACTCCGAGCTGACCAACTACCTCAACAACGTGACGGAGCAGATGAAAGGTGCGGGGGAGCCTCCCGGGCCCTCCCTGGTGTCTGTGCTGGCCCTTCTCGCTCTGTAAGTGACCGCTTGGCTTCTTTCAGAGTGGCTCTACAAGTGCATTGTGCAGCGCCTGGTGGTCGTCATCTCCAGCATCGAGAACAACGAGGTCCTGGAGCGGTGGCAGTTCGACATCGAGTGTGACAAAACGGCAAAGGATGACAAGTGGGTAACACAGCCCCTCCACACCTGCTCTTCCCTATCCCGAGGAGCTGTGCAGGCACAAGATCAGTGCCATGTAATTGTTACTTCATCTGTTCCTCCTTTCTTAGTCGTTGTATGATCAAACCAGACATAATCGTCAGGTACTTATTTTTTTTTAAGCATCAGATCAAAACTTGATTTTTAATCCTCAACAAAGCATATAAAGTCTTGTACATTTGGGTGCATAAACCCAAAGAACCGCTGCTTTCTTTTTGTTATGCCAAAGTGTTCTCTTCCGTTTCGGACTGAGAATAACTTTAACATTCCTTAAAAATACTGGGAAGCTTCATAGACAACAATAAAGGGAGACCAGCTATAGACTTAGAAAAGTCGATCTACCTAGGGTTTAAAAGTGTCACTACCATAAACATACCGTAGCAAACAGACCAACAGAGCTTAATAGAGAGAACTGTATTTAGAGGAAACCGTCACCACAGTAGAAGTTTTCTTTCTTACCAGAATTTTCTTGTTTTTCCAGCGGACCCCGAGAAAAGTCTCAGAAAGCAATTCAGGATGAAATTCGCTCTGTCATCAGACAAATAACTGCCACAGTAACCTTCCTGCCACTGTTGGAATCTGCCTGTGAGTATTCCGAACTTCACTAAAGAAAACAAACACTTTTCCATTTTAGAAAATATTTTTCTGCTGATTTTCTGAGGCTTTTTGATTATTATATGTCATGTACCATCATGTTTCTGAGACAGCACTTTGTTAGACTGAGATCAGGACAGAATTTGAAGTTGCTTAACTAACTTAAAGAAACTAGTATGTATGCTCTGAGGAATATAAGTCTTCATTAATATGATTTGTGACTAGCTGTGGACTGGCTTGTGTAACTCTGAGTTCACATGAAGTGTTACAGAGAGCTCAGCTCCACAGCATTATAAGGTGTTTAAAAAAATTCACGACACTTGAGGAAACTGATGTGTCCCCAGATGAATATAACTTGTTTTCATGTTTTAAATACTCTCTTTCTTCATATAACAAGTATCAGTGTAACTTCTTAGAACATGGGTATGTTTCAAGTTCTAGAAGATGCACTTCAAACCTGCCATCTCCTTATGTGTGTATTACCATTAATTAATTTGTTGCCATTTGGTTACAGGTGCCTTTGACTTGCTGATATATACGGATAAAGATTTGGCAGTGCCAGAAAAGTGGGAAGAGTCGGGACCACAGTTCATTACCAATTCCGAAGAGGTTCGTCTGCGTTCCTTCACCACCACGATCCACAAAGTGAACACCATGGTGGCTTACAAAAGGGATTCTGTTCCCTAGGACACAGGGAGGGGGCCTGTGTGTGTGTGTATATATCCTGTAACCCTGTATAGTTTCTGTCCATAGTGCAGCTGAGCCATGACCACACCATTACCGCTGCTCTTGATGAAGTATGGCACAAAAAAATTCAACGTGCTTGTGATAATGTATGTGATAGAACACTAGACTAGGCTGGCATCACGGTAATAGTTCAATTCTTACTTTACTACACAAGCTAAACTAATGGTGTGTTAAACCACTGCCTTCATTAGAAAAACTGCCGAAATCTAGGATTAGCTGCTGGAATTGTGCTCGGTTCCTATAATTTTGCATTTTAAGATTATATTAAAATATATGCTTTTAGCAGGCTTAAGTTCTCTCTGGCAACTAAAAAAAAAAAAAAATCTTACTCCTGAGGTGCCAGTTCTCGTGTTAAAAGCTTGGGCTGTTTTATTACCAGAAATAACCCTAAAAAGAATCAACCACACAATTCTTGTACCTTTTGTACAGTGAAAGCAGCTGTTTATCAGGAAAACTTTTAAATACATGAAGCCTTGTATTCTAATGACAGCTGGGCTCTAGTTCTGGGGACGGTGTTGTTCTGTCTGTCTGTCGTGTCTGTCAAGCATTTTCTATGTTTGTATTCTTGTTTTATAGAATAAAGCTTCAAATTTTATAGTATTCTCTAATTCAGAGTCTGCAGTACTTTGTATTTCAGATGGTTTTATGAATGCTGAATCTTAGTCTGTAATACAATGAATGCCCTGAAGGCATCCTACTTGTTTCCTATGAGTCTCGAAACAAGTCTTGTGCAGTCAATATGAAATCTATTTATGGACTAATAGTTTGCCTCCATTTAAGTCTTCAAATAACAGTATAAACAGTCACAGTGGCCTAATGATTAAGCACAGTGCCTTCCATGTTTGTTAGACAACACAGGACACTTCATGTGTTCTTATCTACTTTTGCAGTGGAAGAAATTAGGGATTTAAAACTCTGTTAATGGAACTTTCAGACTCTTCCACATTTTCATTTGTTCCTTCACCAAATTCATTTCAGCCAGAGTACTGGACTTTTTCCACTCTCTTACAGTGATGCAGGACTCTTTCTGTTATAATAATATAATTCCAGAAGTTTATTTAAAAAACATTGACTACATGTACCCCACCACTGTATTACAAACCTGGGCTTTCCTACCAGGAAACAATTCTCTCCAGCAGTCCCAATCTAGCAGGAGTGAAAAGTGATTCTGTAAATTGGTAGCACAAACCCATGTCTTTTCTTTTTTTCAAATAAATACAATCTAGGTAATTAAAAAATTACATTATTCACTATAAGGGCTGGCACTGCAGTAACAGAGAAACCTGACGTTTTCTTCTGCCTGTGCTGCCTATTCTTAAACAGGTGACTGCACTACCCCTTCACACCCAGAAGCAGATGCACTTCAAGGAGTGAAGTCTGCAGTAGTGAGCATAAAAAACCTTTTTTAACAGAGATGCAAAAGTCAAATTTCTCAAGGAAGCTCATTCTTGTATCCAATAGTATATATCTTCGTGTAAGAAGGACCAGCCCAAAGTCCACCTCCATCATCATCTCTGTTTCTTCTTTTATAGTGGCACCAACAGTCCAGAGAGAGAGTGGATCCTTGCATACAGATAATGTCCATTAGAGGTACATGTGAAAAGGAACAGGTTATAAATCCTGAAGTTTTCACAAAGACCCTGCAGAACACGAGAGAAAATAAAATAACAGTCAGTCATATTAACACAAAACTTCATGGAGGTGTCCAGCAGGATGTGCTGATTCCTAATGGGACCAACACTGCTCATTGGTTTTTCCCCTACTCCGAGGGTCACTTTTTTAGAGTGACAAATTAAAAACAAGGGACACCTCTCGTGTCCAGTGGCAGTATGGTTATTAGAAAAGGGAGTAAAGGGTAAGGTTTGGAATTCACCCAACAGGCAGCGCTCACCTGACTAGTTGAGCTGACGTATGAGCTGGTTGATGGCTTCCCCTCTGTAGCCAGGCTTTCCCATTTCCTTGAGGAAACCCACTCTGTTACGCGACGCGTGGCGAGCCACCGACAGGTGGAATGGCCACAGAAACTTTGTGACTTTACTGAAATACCTCCCAGTTGAGTAGATTTCATGAATAAGGTCTTCCAGGCAAATAATACCACAGCCCCCTGCAGAAAAATAAAAATTAAAAAAGAAAAAAAGCAATGGCCAACTGTATTATCTTTCCTCACACTGCTCCAGATCGCCAGCCCTCCAGTCTGGTAAGATTTTTCTCCCTCCCCACGCTCTCAGGTCAGACTGTAAACTCTCAACTCTTTCCTCAATTTTCTCAGCCTTTTCCTCACCTAAATGTTCCTCTATCAGCATGTTGTCTGTCAGAGGCATCCTCTTCTTATTGATCTTGGCCTGGCCCCGTTTCAGGATGAGCTCTCGTACAGATTTCAGGTTTGGGTGTCTGTACAAAAACAAAAATCAGGTTCTGTAGTGGAGAGACACAATGCAGTGGGAAGCCCCTTCCTTCTTGAGAAAGTAACCAAGTTATGTTGAGGGCAAGAAGAAGAGAGACAATAACAAGTTTTAGATATAAATTTGGTTAAGCTTTGACCAGCTATGGATCTGTGATACCAAACGGAGAACCAAAAAGCAGCAACATTCCCATACAAACCACTGCCAAGCCACAGGAGTGGTACTTACCCCCATGCCACGTAAGGGTCCACGACCCGCAGCAACTTCAGGGTTAACGGGGTCAGTTTAACAAATATCCCGGTGAAATTCTTTCTCAGCCGAAGCAACTCCATCACTCTTTTTACCCTCCTGGTCACTCCCTTAATACTGAGTCAGTAAAAACAGCAGCAACAAAAGGCCTCAGATTAGTGCGACGATCACACTCCATTTGCACAGAAATAACACAACAAAAGGCAGCAATAATGAAGGTAAGGAGTAGGAAGAGCTTCTTACTCCACAATCCGCACAACGAAGGCCAGTTTGTGCTCCCGAGGTGCCGCCGCCTGCCCAGGTCTCTGCTCCATGCGCCTCAGCCGGCTGTCATCGCGGCGTTTGCGCCACGAATCCCGAACAAAAGTCTCAAGGCGTCTGAACTGGATTTGTTTCCCCTTCTGCTGCTACAGTGAAAAGGAAAAGAAAGTATCACCCACCCCAGCGGTCTCAGAGGTTTGCATCTGACAGGCCAAATGAAATGCAGGACTTGAGGAACAACGTTCCTTCGGCTTTGGAAGCAGTAAGAAGAAAATAAATTTGATTATCTAAGACCAAGGGAAACACAATTGAGGGACAACACATGAATTTAGAGGCAGCTGATTTATGAATAGTAAACTAAAAGAGTTTTTCCCCATGAAAAATATAAATTAGGGAAAGCAGCAACACCCAGGATACTTCTAGATACAGGAGAAATTAAATGGAAGTATCTGCAGCCACAGATGATCACAGCTACACACCCAGCTCAGCAATCGCTGGGAAAGCAGAAACAACACCTGTATCTGGGCAAAAAAGATACTACAGCAATACCATAGCGTGACTCAAAACTACCATCCAACAGAAAATAACTGTTTTTAAAGTCCTTTTCTACAAAGGCACACATACAAAAAAAAATAATTATTGCTAATTTATACACAGAACATCCAGCTCGCTTGGAAAAAAAAATTTCAGGATTATGGGAAAATTTAAAAGCACTTTTTAAATTAAAAGGTGTTTAATTGCTTGTCCTTAGCTTAGGATCGAGAATATCCACCTAAACATAGTGCTTTCTCATACAAACAGGACTTGAATATGCATGGCAGTTACAGAGTAATAGTTAAGATAACACTACTAGTTAAATTATTAAGTAATTTTAAATTATAGAATCTAATGTTATGGATCTTCTATTTTACCTCGTAAATCACCCATGAAATTGGTTTGAATTTTCGACGCAGGCAGACCCAATCAAAACCTCATCACTAAGGTCATTTTTCTAATGAAAGTCTTAAGGAATGGCTATTTAACATTATTGCTCATGTTTCCATTTCCACCTTGAAAATACAGCAAGCCACTGATGTGTTTAAAAACATTAAACACAGTATCCAACAAAAATGGCAGGAGTTTTGTACACGATCCCACAGAAATGGGCTTCACTGGGAAAGCTTTAAAACACTCCTAAGAGAGGTACGTACTGTATTAGCTGAGGCACAGCAGAACAGGACTCAAATTCGGAATTAGAAAGGTTTGCTGTACTCTGCCAGTCTGGAAGTGACACCCTGTGCACCGGGAGTGCCTGTATTAGCGACATGTGCCACCCCACACGCAGAAAAAGGCTTCGCGATGACCTGTCTCTGCTCTAACAGATAAATAAGTTAACTCTAACTGCACCCTCAGAAAAGCATTGTTTCCATGAAGGGTTACAAAGGTGAACTGGTTTCAGAGAGCACAGACAACTCAGCAGCGTTGCAGTACGCCACGTGTGGCTCTAAACACACCCCACCAGGTCAAGACACAGCCCACCAAGTTCCAAGAGGAACAACTCACACTCTTCAATACATTTCTGTTCCACTGCAACCAGCCAGAAAGTCTTGTCCTTTTTACGGGGCTCAGAGACACGGGGAGAAGATGCCCAGGGAGTGGAGAGCTCCCCTCGGAGGTAACCCCCGGCTGAGGGGGCCGATCCCTGGGATCACTTCCCTACGATCGCAGGGAACCGCGATTCCCTCCTTCGGAGGACAAGCAGGGCCAGCACGACCCCCGCGACCCGCCGTACCTTGCGCTTGTTGAGCAGCGCCTGCTTGGCCTGGGTGGCCTTGATGGCCAGGTACGCCTTCCTCTTCTTCAGCAAGTTCTCCGGCACCAGCGGGATCCGCCGCCTCGGCCTGCGCGAGGGACATCCCGATCACATCCCGGTCCCACATCCTCCATCCGCCCCCCTCCCCCCCCGGCTGCCCCGCCGCCGCCCCCAGCCCCGGTGCCGCGTGGTGCCCGCGGATGGCGGCGGATCCTTCCAGCCATCCCTTCCTCCCTCCCTGCCTCCCTCCCGCCGCACTCACTCCTCGGCTTCCGCCATCTTCCCTCGGTGGCGCCGCGCATGCGCCGGGGCGGGGCGCGACATGGCCGCTCCCCCTCAGGTGCCCACCGACTTGTCCGGGGATCCCGGAGAGGTGGGAAGCGGCTGAACCGGACGGGAAAGGGCGCGCTGGTGTCCAGCCGTGCGCTGTGCCATGTCGGTCCACACGCCGGGAGCCTCGGAGGGAAGGGGCGCTGGGACACACGCGTTGCGGACAGCCGGGTCGCCCGCAGGTGGTGCCAGAGCCTCACGCTAAGGGATGCCGTTCCCTCCGATGGGGTTGTGTTCGCGGTCTGCTCCCTCTTTGCCATGCAGGATAGAGGAGGGATGTGTGCCTTTACACTATTAACCATCACTGCGTCTGCAGTCAGCTCGGTTTACACCGACCGCAGTGTTCCCTTGGCAGCTGGGAGCTCCAGCCTGGCACTGGAAGGCTCGGTGGTCCCCGGTTTCCCTGCTCGCCTCGGTGATGCTGCAAACCTTTGTAAGCACTAAAAATTAGGCCACTTCTGTTTTGACACCTAATACTTGAATACCTGTATTTAGAAACTCAATCCCACCTACCCAGATGTGTGCTGTGCAGAAAGCACAGCCCTCGGTGAGGAAACCCAGCCTCCCATGAACTTTTGGATTTATGAGGCAGAAAGCCAACAAGTTTATAAAATAAATAATCTGAAACTTGTACTGAAACACACCCATAACTACATTCATTTCACCCTGACATTGGGGTAAGCTGCTCCATATAAAAAAACCCTGAAATGTCTGGTAGCTCTGGACAGAAAATGTAACCCATTTAAATCTACAAATTAGTGCGCTTTGTTTAACAGGAGAGAAATGCAAACAGCCTCTCGGGTATTTCATTATTAATGGTAAGGAAACAATAAGTAAGTAAATATTTCAAGCACTGTTGCTATGAAATATCGCACAGCATTCTAAGGCTGACTGGTTAAACTTTAACTAGTAGTTCCACCGTGTTAATGAATGGCTATTCAAATGCCTTTGTTTGCAAGGTTACTCAAGAAAGTATTCCCACTTTCCTAGACACCAAGCTGTTGTAAAATGGCCTTCAGCACTCTGAACTCCTCTCCTTTTTTCTTGACAAGACCTTGCATTTTCTGATATTTCCATGAGCTGTTACAGACGAATCCAGTGACTGTGAGCTTACTATAGTCACCATCCACCAGTGACAGATTAACTGACTTCTCCTAATTTCTCCTTTCAGAATGACAGGTAAAATACCTTTTTAAAATCCTGGATATCTAGTCATGCTCCTTTCAGCCACTGACATTCAATGACTTCACAATCCAGCTACTATTTCAGGGCTCCAATTCCAAAAGCCAAGCCAGGAGATGAGCTATGAGAAGCATCTTGACCGTGAAACTTCTTGCCTTACTCTCTCACTTTAAGGGTATAAAACACCATTAAATTTATTTAAAATCTCATAAAATCTTTATTGACACTGCGTGCAGTCTCAAAACAGCAAAAGACCTTGAAGTCCATCACTCTTAGCAGTGAATCATGCCCCAATCTGAAATCTGTCTGTAAGCTCCCTATAAAATGAGCCAAAAAAATTAAAATTGGTTTATTTTGCCAAACTGTGATCTAATCTTGGGAATATTTTAATGGGGAAAACACCTTGTGATCTTAAATTATGCCCATTTTCAGATCTTTTAAGGCAAAAGTTTATACGGTTTGGAAAGAAGCCCAGGAACTACTCCACACACACACTCAAACCAATAACTAACAGAGAAAAAAGGTGTGTGGTCCAAGACTTCCTTCCGTGAAAATAACAATCACATGGAGATAGACTAATATTTCATAAAAATATTTTTGAAAAATGCTGTGGATAGGTGGATGTTTTTATTCTGTTCAAAAATCTTTTCATGGGCATTTTTGTCAGAAATCCTGCAAATCCATCTCCAAAGGAGCAATCTGGGTATAATGAAGAGATGTGATGAGACTAACACAGGTGTGTTCCCTCAGTTAGTGGCTACTTAGTATGTCAAACTGAGAAGGCTCAAAAAGATAAAGTTTTTTGGCTTTGTGTCTTCTAAAAAAAAAAAAAAAATAAGTGGGAAAAACCAATTCATTCTTTAGTGCCACTCATTTACCAGCATTAATGGAAAATATTCTGGTTTCAAAAGCTTGATTTTACAGTTACTATTCCCTGGAAGAAAAGCAGACTACTAATAAACCCCAGGCACTATTCACAATCGTTGTCCCTGGAAATTATATCTAGAGCTTTAAGTTATGAATATTAAATTACAGATTTACATTGTTCTGACATTTTCTAAAAGAGTGGTGGCACCCATTTACAACGTGAAACACTTGTAAGAAATAAAATGTAAATTAATTTTTTTTTTTTTTTTACTTCTAATGCACTTGTAAAGGCCTGGTTAATGAACCTGAAATAAAAAAATTGCTTTTCAATTACAATAAATAGCGATGAAAAGAATTTATTTTTCTGTCTTGCCTACGAGGGAGTGCACAGAGTGTCTGCTATTTGAGTGTACTACAGATTTAATTGTACCTTAAAAGAAAAGTGGAGGTAAAAATAGACATCATTATATATGGTCTTCACAGGTCTCCATGACCTCTCTCCTTCCCCCACAGGGATGAAAAGCTACATTTTATTTGGGAGAAAGACCGATTCAATTATGTCTGAGATGAAAGGCAGTGGGAACAGAATAGGTGTCTTTCCCACACTCAGTAATTGGGAATCCTACCTCCTACTAGATTACCTTTTAATTGAACCTTCCAGATAATGATGCCATTTAGGTTGTGGGAGCATATTAATAAGTACGGCATGGCATAAACTATTCATAAAAATACGACAGACTGGGAGCCATAAAAAGAGATGGAATGAAACAACTCAATTAGGGAGTTTATCATGTCAACATAGACAGCTTCCTAAGAAGTGCTTTGTATAGCCAGATGTGCTCTCTGGCCTAAATGTCAGTGATTCTGATACAATGGGGACGGGTGGTAGACAATGAGTTTTACCTTAAAAAAATAAAAAAAAAAAAAATGTCATTATTCTTACTTCATGGCTCTGGCTGCTGCCCCAACTATGTAAAATCCTTTAGCATGTTCAGTTTTGGAGCTGTTGTTTAAAGCAGAAGCACCAATCAGAAGAGGGTTAAAACATCCTAAGTGAGAATTAGTCTGCAGTAATTTATGTAAAATCACAGCCGAGTAGTTTTGCTGTGGCTCTGAGTGCTGTAACAGTGCATGGCAACGGGGCTTTAAGGGCCCTCTCACTTCTTTTCCCTGTTAATTTATGCACAGAAAGTTCTCGTTGGAACGTTTTGTTCTGCCTGCAGTTATTTGTGACAACTGCCTAGTCAAGATAAAGCTACAGAGCATCCATGTCTGACCAGGACTCATCAGGCAGGGAAACAGAGCCTGAAGGATGTAAGTGGTTGTCCATAGCTTTATCCCAAGAAAGAGGCTGTACTCCAGCTGCTCCAAGCTGCCTACATGCAGCAGAAACAAAGGAAAGGAGGAGGTATTTACAAGATTCTCCTCATGGCACAGCAGAAGACCTTATAAGGCTGAGTGCTAAGGCAGGAAGATGGCAGAAAAAATCGGTAAATAAAAGTGCAGCAAGGATTCACCGATTTCTATATGAAATTATGGGATACAGGCTAATTAATAAGCCTGGGAGTAGGATTTTGAAATGATTTTAGAGAAATAAAAATATCAGCTCCACGCTTAGGATGACAGAATAGTAATTGAAAATTATTAGGGAAGGGTTAAAGAACAAAGCAGAGACCATCATTCCACACTGTAGCCTCTTACACCCACATTTTGGATGCTCCAGCTTTGGTCTGTCACCTTTCTGCCATCTGTCCATCCCATACTTCCACCCACCTTTCCCCAAGACAGACTTGGAAAAGGTTCAAAGAAGATCAAAGATAGGGAATAGTTTCCATGTGTGGAGCAGTTAAATAGACTGGACCCTCAGGCTGGGAGAAAGGTGTCTAAGGGAAGATAAAATAACCCATAATGGATAAGTGGTGGGACAGTTGCTCCCTCTCTCTTCCAGCATGAGAGGCAGGGAACCTCGGATGAAGGTAGAAGGAGGCAGGTTCACAACAAATGATGTGGTTTTTGCAGCACATGAACTTGTATTTAAGGAGCAGACATTTTAGCCACCAGATTCTGAGAAAGGTTGGGTGAATCAAAAATTGGGAGAGTAACTTCTTGACCATATTGTACCTCTGCAGGCAGCAAGACTCCAAGCTATTCTTCCATTCCTCATAATAAATGCATTCCATTTTTTCCTACAGAGGCTGCAGATGTTTCTTTCACAACGCTCAGCCCATTTTTCCCCTAAACCTTTCACACACTGATCCCAACACAGATAAGTTGGTTGCTGAAAAATGAATAATTTAAAGCCCCGAGGATGAACTCAAAATAAGCAAATGTCAGTGCTATCCTCCAAACCCTGTTCTCCAACAATGTACAAGTCTATAACAAAAAAAGGAAAACCAAACTGAATGAAATCAGTGTTGTTACAGAGGAGACAAACGACCCTGCATTCTCCTCCAGTATTTTAAATATCTAGGTGGAGATGAGAAAAGAAATACAGTTGTAGGCTGAGGTGTTGTTTCAAAAATTCAAATTCTCTTTTAACTGTACTGCTACTGGGCATTGATTTAGAATATGAAAAGGACATCAATGTTTGTTGTGCAGCCTCAGCATTGGTACCCTCTGCCTCCAGAAACTGTTTTTACCGAGCAGAGGAGCTACACATCCCAGCCACGTGTCCCCATCCACCTCCTCCCCGGTGGATCTGGCCTTTCTACCAGCTCAGCTCCAAACTTTCCATTTAACTGAGATTTGTCCCATTTTATATTCACCCTTGCTATTGTAGCAAAACATCTAAAGAGGCAGACAGAACTCAGCTTCTCTGCTTGCAAACAGAAGGGCTAATTTAACCTGACTGCACATCCTTCTTCCCTGTTCACCTGCACTGTGGCCCCTTTTCCTGCCTTTGAAGTCCATCCTTTGCAGCCCTTAAAAGAGATTTGGATAAATGAACCCATTCCTGCAATGATCTATTATCACTGCTGC